TGAGTCCCCAGCATCTCCTTGCAGTTCTATTTCCAGTATTTTACAGACCAGAAGAAGATTCCGGTCCCGACGTTGTTGTTGTTGTTTCCGGCATTYGTGCCAGAATGCAATACCACCAACCTCACCCCAGTCGATACTATATCAGTATCACCCACAGTCGTTTTCTCCAGCTGAGTGCAGTTACCACAGCTGGATCCATCCCCAGTTCTCAAGGACCGGAAGCCCCTGTGCTTTCTGGTCACGATTGTTGTTGTTTCCGASGTTYGTGCCRGGATCAATAACACAACCCCCATCCCCCAGTATTCTACCAAGACCTAGTGCAGAACACTGTCCATGCAGTTCCTTTTCCAGTATTTTCCGGACCGGAAGAAGATTCCGGTCAMRACGTTGTTGTTGTTGTTTCCGGCATTCGTGCCGGWATGCAATAACACMAMCCCCAGCCAGTATTTAAACATGACCTAGTGAGGATCAAGCCTGGAGTATATGCTACATCATACATCATACTCAGTTTCAAGCAGATTCCCCAGCATCTCCATGCAGNCAAGCCTGGAGTATATGCTACATCATACATCATACTCAGTTTCAAGCAGATTCCCCAGCATCTCCATGCAGCTCCTTTTCCAGTATTTTACAGACCGGAAGAAGCTTCCGGTCACGACRTTGTTGTTGTTGGTTCCGGCGTTCGTGTTGGAAAGCAATGACACCATCCCCAGTTCCTCCAGCTGAGTCCCTCAGCTGAATCCATCCCCAGTTCTCAAGGACCGGAAGCCCCCGTGCTTTCCGGTCATGATTGTTGTTGGTTCCGACACTCCAGTCGGAATGCAATAACACCAACCCCAGTTACTCCAGCTGAGTGTCTCAGCTGGATCTCCATCACGACGTTGTTGTTGTTGTTTCCGGCATTCGTGCCAGAATGCAATAACTTCAAACCCAGTTACTCCAGCTGAGGGAAAGCACTCAGCTGGATCCATCCCCAGTTCTCAAGGACTGGAAGCCCTTGTGCTTCCAGTCACGATTGCTGTTGTTTCCGACCTCCATGCCGGAAAGCAACAGCAACACCCCCACGAATGTTGCTGTTCCTGTCCTTTGTTAGGGACAGGAATAGCAACACCCCCAGTATTTGACCTCCTGACCAGGGGTATCAGGGTTATTGGAATTATTGGAATTATTATCAGGTTCTTCTTCCAGAAGATACTCACACAGCTGCTTCTTTKGGTGGGAGCAGCTTCAATTTGGTGAAAGAAGTGTGACGTTTCCTTTTTTCTTTTTCTTTTTGGCTTTTCTTTTTTTTGACTTTTTCTTTTTGACTCCATGTGTACTCGCCCACTGTKGGAAGACTTGCCTTAATTGGCTTGGCAGTGTGCTTGGCACAAATTTCCTTGACCACTGCATCAGTGCTGGCCTACAGGTTGGGGATTGAGCACCCCTAACCTACAGGCTTKGCAGTGACCTTTGAAATGATATTGGCATGGTTCTCATCCATCCAAACTGTGAACCACCTGCTTTTATGTCCTCTGAGGAGTTCAGCCTTGGCCTATCAGTATGCATAAAACTTGGTCGCGCCTCCACAAAACCTCCTCGGAGGGAGGCGCCGCCCCTCGGAGCAGCTGGAAGCATTCTTTCTGACAAAAGCTATGGTTCTGGCCATATAGTGCCTCTTCTAGTTCACGAGGTTAAATATAATATTAAGATTTTTTTTTTTTTACTAGTATATGAGTACTACTAGTATACAAGTACTATATACTTTACTATATACTACACTAAATTGAAGCATCATCGATATACATATATATACAGGTCAGTATATATCTGTATATAGAGGATATACTTCCTCTTTGCTAGTTCTCAGAAGGAGAAGTAGAATTCAGAATAGTAGAACTAATCAATTGGGAGTTCTGTTCTAAAGTTGATCAGAAGAATCACTACTGAGATCCACAGGATCCGAGAACTGTGAAAACTAGCTCACAATCAATTAGTACTAGTCAGAAGTATATTTCTACTATGGATCTT